CACACACGCACACACACACAAACACACACTCTCACACACAAACACACGCACACACAAACACACGTACACACAAACACAAACACACACACTCTCACACACGCACACACACAAACACACACACTCTCACACACGCACACACACACACACACACACAGGTTGGTTTCATTATATAAAAGCATTTGTGTGTGTGTCTGTCTCAGGTGTATCCACGGCTCCTGTCACCCCATAAACTCATACTCGTACAGCTGTCGCTGTCATCCAGGCTTTGCAGGTGTATTATGTGATGAAGAGGAGCAGTTGAGTCCCTGTCAGTACATAGCGTGTAAACACGGCCGCTGTCGCGTGTCTGGGCTGGGGAAAGCCTACTGTGAGTGCAACAGCGGCTACACGGGGCAAAGCTGCGATAGAGGTACGGCGGCATGCTTTCAATCTTTATATAAACCTGATCTCATGAGAAAAATGTGACTACACACTATTTTATTATTATTTTAATGTGGTTTCCAAATGATATATACACTTAGTAATACTGAAAGTGTTTTTTCCATAAGCTCTCGGGTTGCACAATATATCAGTACCACATCAGTTATCAGCCATTATTATTATTATTGTTTTGTTTTTTTAGTAAATATTGGCCAATATTGGATATTTAGCTGTGGTTCTGCTCATTTCCTCCATTTTTATTTTTAGATTACCTTGACCATCATTCAAACCGCTGGTGTCTTTCGTCACTTTTTTATTTGTATTATTATTTTGTACTATATTTTAGTTTATTAATGTTTTCTATTTAATATTTTTCATTGCTAGGGGATTTATGGTACTAAATTATATTTATGGAATGGTTACGAACCATTTATGACCTGTTAACCACTTTTTGAGCATAGACCTGAAAAGGACATTTCCAACTTAAACTGTCGTAACTCTTGAATACTTTGGAGCACAGACTTAATAAAAAGACATGTCTTACTCTAAAACGGCAAGAAAATCAAAGCTGTGTTCCAAATTTGAGGTTGATATCTCAAAAAATGAGCTTTCAGTAGGGTTTTGTTTGAGCACGGTACCAAACATTTCCACAAGATGAATTTCGCTTCCCATTCATTTCCAATTAAATAATAAAACGTTAACTTTTTTGGTAAAAAATGACCAAACAACAGCAGAGGGTTAATAACACTGTTAAATGTAATCTTTAGCCAAATCTCGAATGATTGTACAGTTTCCATGCTGTATTCTGCATTTCAAATGATTGATTTGAGTTTTTACTGTTTTATTTTTAATTTATATAGACACAATTGTGTAGAATTTAAATATTGGCCACTTAACGGTTATCAGCCATAGCATTATTATAGGCTAATAATAATATATAATTTTAGATTTATTGCTCTTGGCCAGAACTGTAATGTCTGTAGCTCAAACCCTAAATCCACTCCTACCTGGAATTCAAATGTATTCTCTTCGAAAACAACATCAGAAGAGAACATAGCATTTTCTGAATAATGTGACACTTTTAAGCTACGTTCTCTCACAATTTGTTTTAAGGAACAGACCAAAAATTGAAGCCTTTAACTGATAACCTTCTCCTCATATCTTTATTTTGTGGTGATGTGTTTCTGTTTTATATAAAAGTGTATGCGAGGTCAATACTTCTTTACTCACCTGTACTGTAACTTGTGCTTGCATGTGTCAAAATGCCTTTAATGCTTATATGTTGCTAAAGTGGTGTTTTCATTCTAAACGTCTGTGTAGCTTGCTGTTGAGATGCTAACCCTGTGAGAAGCTAACCTTGCGCTATTATTGTTGTTATTTTACTAACATACGTTTTTAACCTTCAAGCTGCTACTGAAAGCGGTATGGACCCCACTCAGGTCCGCCAGGTGAGGAATGCACTGTGTGTGTGTGTGTGTGTGTGTGTGTCTGTGTTCATCTTAAAGGAATAGTTCACCCAAAAATGAAAATTTGCTGAAGATTTGGAGGAATGTAGCATTGCATCAGTGTCTCAGCAACGGATGCTCTGCAGTGAATGGGTGCCGTCAGAATGAGAGTCCAAACAGCTGATAAAAACATCACAATAATCCACAGCACTCCAGTCCATCAGTTAACATCTGGAGAAGACAAAAGCTGAAACACATCCAGCAAGACGTTTTAAAATACAAAACCGTTGATCCATAATATTGCTTTCTTCAGTGAAAAAGTCATTTCATCTGAATCAGGAGAGAACTCTGCACGGTGTTTACAAGTCAAAACAGCTCTAAACAAATATGTGGCTGGATTTTGATGTGAGAGACAACAGCAGATGGAGGAAGCGTTATTATTCATTATGGACTTGGCCAGAAGCAACCGTTTAAATTTAAAATTCTTTAATGATGGATTTGTTTCTTAGAAACATGCAGCTTTTCTCACAAGTCGTTAACTGATGGACTGTGGATTATTGTGATGTTTTATCAGCTGTTTGGACTCTCATTCTGACGGCACCCATTCACTGCAGAGCATCCATTGCAGAGACACTGATGCAATAACAACAGCAGATGGAGGAAGCGTTATTATTCATTATGGACTTGGCCAGAAGCAACCGTTTAAATTTAAAATTCTTTAATGATGGATTTGTTTCTTAGAAACATGCAGCTTTTCTCACAAGTCGTTAACTGATGGACTGTGGATTATTGTGATGTTTTTATCAGCTGTTTGGACTCTCATTCTGACGGCACCCATTCACTGCAGAGCATCCATTGCAGAGACACTGATGCAATGCTACATTTCTACAAACCTGATGAAGAAACAAACTCATCCTGATCTTGGATGACCTGAGTGTGAGCACATTTTAATTTTCTGGGTGAACTACTCCTTTAAATTTCTTCCCTCCTTTAATAACTAATAAACTGCAAGCTTTAAGTTGAACCTACTGTATATTCCTGCAGCCCCCCCCACAGCCCTCTTCTCTCCTTCCTTTTCCACTTTCACTCACTGTATTTTCATAGGGGTCACCTTTCAATTTCACAGTGCAAATATAATGAAATCGATCATGATTGATATGTAATATACTATATATACAGTGGGGCAAAAAAGTATTTAGTCAGCCACCAATTGTGCAAGTTCTCCCACTTAAAAAGATGAGAGAGGCCTGTAATTTCATCATAGGTATACCTCAAAGCACAGAGAAGGTCTCCCGTTTAGTGTGTCGGGGCATCTGCGGGGACGGGACCTCCTGCTGCGCCCCTCTCCGCAGCAAACGTAGGAAATACACCTTCCAATGCACAGACGGATCCTCTTTTGTCCAGGAGGTGGAAAAGGTCATCAAGTGTGGCTGCACAAAATGTCCATCCTAAAAACGAAAAAGAAGAAATGCATCCTCACGCCCCCCTCTTTTTGAAGTCCCCTGTTTCGTTTGACCTTTTTTCTCAGAGTTGGACTAATGTTTTTCCTTCAGAGGACATCATGGATTACTGTAAGATAAAGAACAAACCTATTTTTTATTATGAAGCGGTGAAAAAAAGACAAAAAATAGATTTTAGAGTTGTTTTTTTGTTTGCCATCATTTTAGGTACTGTGACATTTTGATTACTTTTTTGTGGCAAACTCACCTCAGACCAGAATGGAAAGCAAACACATCCTGTTGACGCATTTCACTTTTTTGTGCCATTCTTTTATGTGGGTTTTCTAGACTGCCTCAACTCATTTCACCTGGACTTTTTGAAGGTGAGAAAGTATCACTATGGAGACTACAAGGGGTTTCGTCTCTTCTCCTACTTCTTTACAGTGTACCACACAAACACACACTATCATAGCTGCTCCTATTCGTTCACACACACAAACACAACTCAGCCACTAAGTGTACACACATGATCTCTTCCAGTATGCGTGCGCACACACACACACACACTCTCTTCCGATTCACATTATAAACCATGTGTATTTATTGTATCAAAAATACTGTCACATTACTTATACTCGGTATAGCCCTTCATTTCCCTGGAGTTACAGTTGGAATTTCTTAATATATATTAATTTATATTCATCCTTTTACCAATTTAAATCACTCATAGCTTACTGAGTAGAATGGCGTGTCGGGGGGAACGGGTCCGAGATCACTATCAGACGCAGCAGGGCTACGCAGCGTGCCAAAGCACAGAGAAGGTCTCCCGTTTAGTGTGTCGAGGCATCTGCGGGGACGGGACCTCCTGCTGCGCCCCTCTCCGCAGCAAACGTAGGAAATACACCTTCCAATGCACAGACGGATCCTCTTTTGTCCAGGAGGTGGAAAAGATCGTCAAGTGTGGCTGCACAAAATGTCCATCCTAAAAACGAAAAAGAAGAAATGCATCCTCACGCCCCCCTCTTTTTGAAGTCCCCTGTTTCGTTTGACCTTTTTTCTCAGAGTTGGACTAATGTTTTTCCTTCAGAGGACATCATGGATTACTGTAAGATAAAGAACAAACCTATTTTTTATTATGAAGCGGTGAAAAAAAGACAAAAAATAGATTTTAGAGTTGTTTTTTTGTTTGCCATCATTTTAGGTACTGTGACATTTTGATTACTTTTTTGTGGCAAACTCACCTCAGACCAGAATGGAAAGCAAACACATCCTGTTGACGCATTTCACTTTTTTGTGCCATTCTTTTATGTGGGTTTTCTAGACTGCCTCAACTCATTTCACCTGGACTTTTTGAAGGTGAGAAAGTATCACTATGGAGACTACAAGGGGTTTCGTCTCTTCTCCTATGCATGCACGCACGCACACACACACACACACTATCATAGCTCCTCCTATTCGTTCTCACACACACACACACACACACCCCAATAAATGGACACAGGAGCTCTTCCAGCATGCACACACACCCACACACCCACACTATCATAGCTGCTCCTATTCGTTCTCACACACACGTCCCAATAAATGGACACAGGAGCTCTTCCAGCATGCACACACACACACACACACACACACACACACATCTGATCCACATTATAAACCATGTGTATTTATTGTATCAAAAATACTGTCACATTACTTATACTCGGTATAGCCCTTCATTTCCCTGGAGTTACAGTTGGAATTTCTTAATATATATTAATTTATATTCATCCTTTTACCAATTTAAATCACTCATAGCTTACTGAGTAGAATAACTAACGTTGTGTCTCCTTCATTCGGTTGGTTTGACCAATGAGACTGTTGTATTTACCATAAAAAAAAAAGAAGAGAAAAAAAAAAAACTTAGTGGTGTTATAAATCTTCAAATGTGAAGTGAAAACATTGTATATTTTTGTTGAATCTCCTAAAAATTTGTATGGTGACACAGATGTGCTTTATATTAGAGTTTAAATGTATAGTTAAAATCTCCCCATGTATTCTGTACAGAGCACATGCCATAGCTCAAAAAAATAACCGTAGCGTCCATAGCAGTCAATAAACCTCTTTTTAAAATACCCTCCTTGCAAATCCTTTTTAATGATACGGATAGAAAGAAAAACTGTGACTTTTTTCTAAATGATACTACTTTGTTACCACTCTGTCTCCCCCGTGTTAACATGTTGCTGCTAAATTGGTATTGTAGACTTTGGATGATGCTGATGCTGATGTTTATTGTAGAGGACGTTGCTCATTCATTGAGCAAATTGTTTTACTGATCAGTGAATAAAGATGTCCCCTCCCTCTACACAGTTGTTCCTCTCTATGTAATGCCAAAATCATACACACAATCCTGCTTCTGGAGGGCCGCTGTCTAAAGAGCTCGAATATTATCAGGCTGCTACTACCTGTATATATATGTTGCACTTTCTCATATATACACACACACACACACACACTTTAAATGAATAAAATTAATGCATGTCACACTTATAAGATAAATGACGCCATCTAGTGTTGTGATTTTCACCAAAAAATTCACCTTTTTAAAATTTTCTTTCTTTTTTAGGTATTTTAATGCTGCTAGCGACATAGTTCACTCATTAGGTTGCTTCTCTTGATGCTGCTGATGCACCCCATAAACAGCAGAGAATGAACATCCATCAAAACACAAACTGTCTCTAAATAACAGCTAACGAAAGATCAGTCTAATTAAAAAAACAGGACTGAGACATTATATAATGTGCTAATTTGCATCGTCTGAGTCATTGTGATCTCAAGATTGTTCCAGATTCAAATTCAAATTAGTCTTTGATAATCATTAATTGCACTATTATTTACATGCAAATCCACCTGAATGGAATATAAAAAGGCGAATGCTTTATTTTATATATATATATATAAAACATAGAATGGTGTGGCAAATAACAAAATAACTGAATTTAAATCATGTGTCAGTCTCCAAAAACAGTGGGAAATGTTAAGTGGAGACTCTGTAATGCTGATTATTCCACAGATTCATGTTGTCAGCAATTTGTGTCGTGAAGGTAAGACTTAGGTTAACATTTTAAAGGCTATGATGTTAGTGATTTTTTTGGCAATCACTTTGGCACGAATATCAAAAACTTTCAAAACTCTAGACACTAAACTCACAACCAATGATGCAACAACACACACATTTTTTTTTTTTTTTTTCAAAACTTGGCACTTTTTCCAATTTTTCCAAACTTCATTTGTTCACTGAACCGGTTTACCGGATCAAAAATAATGCAACATTAAACCAGAGTACAGCCGTGTCACACCTGTACAGTCATCATCACACCAGTGTGAACGGGAAAACTCATCTACTCTCTAGTGCGCTTTTACAGTCTTGTGTTTATAATCATGCTCTTGCAATCTATAACTCAGTTTCATGGAAAATGTTTTTGAAATAAAGACTGAAATAGCTGTCGGAAGCGTAATATGGTGACACTGAAATCATGTGACCATACTGTAGTTTGTTCAAACTGTAGACTGTTTAGTTTTTAACTTCTGGTGATTGTATTTTGGCTTTAAAATCCACACACCTTGTGCTCACTTGTGAGGATTATCATTATAAAATATGTAAGAATCATAAACTGGTAACAGCTTATGTTCTTCAATAATCCAAAAGCCAATGGCAAAATCTTATTGGTTATTTCTTTCTTTCTTTTTGTCGAGGGAACCAAGGAGATGCTAACTTATGGGTTGGCCTACAAAAATACATCACTGCAGCACTCATGAGCCAGTTGGACTATATTATCTGTGAATGCAATATTTCATCATCATTCTTTTTCAGACATTGTTTTCAGATTTGACATTACTGTATATATGCAGGCTGAGACCTGAGACAAAGGAAATATAGAAGTACAGACATCACAAACATTTTTTACACCTATTGGTACACAGATTTTTATTTAATTGTAGTCATATATTTTTTTTTCTTTTATATCATTATTGAAAAAAAATCACACACCCATTCGAGAAATAATCAGTATCGGTTATGGAAACAAAAAGTGTCCAACACACCTCTCCCGTCATTGTTCTGCCAACAAATTCTGATGCCAAGCAAAAAAAATAACGCAAATGAATAAACAAGCGAAGACAGAATATCAACAGAACAACAACAGAATATCTTGGTTCTGTAAAACACAGCAAAACCAGAATTACTCCCGTACCAAGCAGAAAACAAAGCAACCTCGAAGACAGTTTCCAAGCTTCTCGCTCTTTAAGGATCTCCAGCGCTGACAAGCTCTTCCAATATTAACCCTCCGGTGTTGTTTGGTCATTTTAGACCAGATTTTAAATTTTTTGTGTGTGTAAAATCTACAAATCGTTCATGATGCAGGAAAAAAAAGTGCACAGCAATGAAGGGGTGACACTCTAAAACAGGGCTGTCCAAACTGGGTCCTGGAGGGCCCGTGTCCTGCAGAGTTGAACTCTGCAAGACACGGCCCTCCAGGACCCAGTTTGGTGAGCCCTGCTCTAAAATATCAAATGTGCAAAATAGAAACACTCTGAATAATTTTGTCTTATGCTCTCGTCTCGTTCATGTTTTAGTGCATAAAAGAGAACGAGCTGATAATTTGCACTCTAATTTAAAGATTCAGTAATTCACAGCCCTTTTTTTCTGGAGCTCTTCAACACTGCACATTTTAAGTGGAGTCAGGTCTGGGAGTTTCTACTATTTGAGCTGATACCAAGTGGATCAGGTTGATTTTTCTGTTATCCCAGCTGAGCTATAACGACCTCTAGCGGACACACAAAACACTGCATGGGATTTATTGCTGCCAAATGAATTTGGACCTTTAATTCTTGACAGTTTCCAAGCAGTGTCATTGTCATTGACTCAACCTGAAACCAGAGTCATACATTAGAATAAATCATTAAATAAAATAACTTAATAAATATCTAGACATTTTTAAAAACTGACAAAAAAAAAAGACAAGCACAACAAAATTATTAAAATGTTAACAAATTAAAATAGTATATATAAATTCAAAATAATAATTATTTAAAAACTTCAATAGTAATAACACAATTCAAAATTTCTTAGATCTCCAAGATCTGCATGTTTTTACAACAGCAAAAAAAAATGCTTTGAAACTTTTTTTATTGGTACAAAATGCCATTTTATTGTTCGAGTTCATCACACACGTCATAAGACGCTCATTCCAATCTGACTGTGATTTAGCCGAGACATAACATGATACAACAGTAACGAACCAAACCAAAGGAATCAGACTGCATTGTCAATGTCAGAATCACACCATAGCTGACTCAAACCAAGAAATAAACTCTTTCTTGTAATTGGACAGACCCCTGCTTGCCCTGAGTGTGATCTACAGGGTTATATCTTGAGCCGGATGTATTATGAACCACATATAGTGAAATATTGTAATGTTTTTTTTTTTTTCATCCAATTTTAGATTGCTAACAAAATCTGACGCTCTGCCCTCATTCATGTCTGCATACACTAAGGGTAAAAGCACAGTGGTGAAACGACAAAAAGACTATTTGATGACACTTGAAATGGACATTCATATTTTTTATCATCACTTGCATCTCCTCAAAGAAAAGAAAAAAGATGGTTACGTTCTGGAACACTTGATAGATGTGGAACAAACACAAAAGATAAAAACACACCCCAAACCATGAAGATAATTCATATAATTTCTAAATTACTATCCCTTCATATGCAGAATCATATCCCTTCAGTTTCTAAAGCGACATCATTACATGATCACACAAGAGGTCCACTCACGTTTCAACACAACTTCAGGTTTCTCTCATTTCAGGCCACTTTTCCATTCATAAAGTGAACATTTGAAGTGGATGCCTTGATATGTCTGCAGACGGATATCTATTTAATCTATGAATATAATTCCCATAAGTCTCTCCAAAAAATGAGGCAGCTTCCTGTTAGCTTTAGGAACTGAGCTATTAAACTACAAAACATGACGTTTAGAGGCATCCTGTCAAAATAATCACAGCAAATGAGAAGGAAAGAATTAAAAAACAAACTCACCCTCCCTAAGTTACACAAACTAATCAGCTACCCATAGACACTATACACAAATAGAGTCGTCTAGCTATTGACCAGTCGTTTTCACAAGAGCAAAGACTTCGACGGCTAAAAATAGATTTTTTTTCCTCCAAATATTAGGTATATAACCCCTCCCTAGGATTTATATAGTAAGAAATTCAATAAGATCTACAAAATATAGCAATGCCATTTTTAAAAAATAGTTTTGCTTTTTAAATATTTAGAATACATTCATGCCTCTTGGTAGTTGGTAGTGTCTGTATGAAGGGTCGTGGTTGCTCTGTTCCCTCTGTGGCCTCACGGGGTCAGTATCTAGTTTGGTATTCGTGGTGCCATCTGTTGAAGTCATTGTAGAACAGAACAATGCTACCAGACGCCATCCCAGTGATGATGCATCTGCACCAGGACACCAGGACAAAGAGACAAGAGGGGAGACAGAGACGTGTCCCATAAATATTAGACATCTTCTTTTTTTGATTTTATATCTAGATAGAAATCTTTTGCAACAATATACACTACCGTTCAAAAGTTTGGAGTCAGTAATTTTTGAAATAAATGAATACTTTTCTTCAGCGAGGATGTGTTAAACGTATAAAAAGTGATCGTAAAGACTTGTTTTGAATTGTTAGAAAAGATTTCTATTTTGAATAAACGCCGTTCTTTTTAACTTTTTATTCATCAAAGAATCCTGAAACAAGCATCACAGGTTCCAAAAAATATTAAGCAGCAAAAACAGTTTCTAACATTGATAATAAATCAGCATATTATACTGATTTCTGAAGATCATGTGACACTGAAGACTGGAGTAATGATGCTGAAAATACAGCTGCGCATCACAGAAATACATTACATTTGAATGTATATTAAAATAGAAAAACGTTATTTTACATCATAAATATATTTCACAATATTACTGTTTTTTTTTTCTTTAAAAACACTAAAAATCTTACTGATCACAAACTTTGCACGCCATTGTGTTTGTGTGTGTTATATATACGTGACCCTGGAGCACAAAACCAGTCATAAGGGTCCATTTTTTTAAATTGAGATTTATACATCATCTGAAAGCTGAATAAATAAGCTTTCCATTGATGTATGGTTTGTTAGGATAGCACAATATTTGGCTGAGTTACAACTACTTGAAAATCTGAAAATCTGGAATCTGAGGGTGCAAAAAAATCTAAATATTGAGAAAATCGTCTTTAAAGTTGTTCAAATGAAGTTCTTAGCAATGCATATTACTAATCACAAATTAAGTTTTGATATATTTACGGTAGGACATTTACTAAATATCTTCATGGAACATGATCTTTACTTAATATCCTAATGATTTTTGGCATAAAAGAGAAATGTATAATTGTGACCCATACAATGTATTGTTGGCTATTGCTACAAATATCCCCCAGCGACTCAACACTGCTTTTGTGATGCAGGGTCACATATAAGTAAGTATGTGTGTTCTATTTTAATTTTTACTCTTTTTTTATTTTATTCTTTTCTGGAGAAAGAAGCGGTTACGTTTCCACAAACGGGAACATTTTTGATTCTTTTGTAATGGAGCTACTGCACAAAAGGAGACCAGAAACAACTCAAAAACATCCACTACTACTCAAAAGTTTGGGATCAGTAAGATTTGTAATGTTTTTAAAGAAATAAATTAATATTTCTATTCAGCATGGATGTCGATCAAAAGTCAGTTTTAACAAACATATGAAGCAGCACAAGAGTATTTTTTTGTTTTGACCAAATAACTCCAAACGTTTGAACATTGGCGTACAGTATGAATGTTTGAAAGTAGTGATAACTGCTGAATGTAGAGTTTGATTTATTTAACCAGACATTTCAAAATCTAAACAATCCCATTTTTTATTAACTTGCATAAAACATTTTTTTTTTTTTTAAATATCTGTGCCCATTACTAAAAATGTGTTATTTTGCTAAGAACTTAAAATGTAAAAAGTGTTAGAATTATCCCTGCTCTTCCCCAAGTCAACATGGAGATATTGTAATCTTGAGTCTAGAAAAGGAAGAGGAACTCGGTGTCTTCATGCATCCTACCTTTGGTCATGTGACATAGCCATAGAGCGTATTCCAGCATCACATCCCGGGTACGTGAAGAGCTGCTTGAGATCATGAATCTGCCAGATGCTGAGAACTCCTGCGTCTCCTCCGGTCAGCAGATACTGGCCATCTTTACTGAGCAGCATCGCCTGCAGAGGACAGCCAGTGTGTTCAATGCATCAGTCAGTGCTGTCTGCTTTTCATTTATAACGGCAAAGTCGTGGGTTCACCCGTTTTACTTTGTTGAATTTCAGATGAATGATATTTGGGCTTCACAGTAAATATAAACAAGTCATTGCTTCATTTAAAATCTTCTCATTAAAAGCAACTAACCACTCAAGAGGACCCCTGACCCCTTTAGGGGCCTTTCATGTTTCTCGAAGATAAATAACACTGATAAGCATGTGATGGGTGCTTTAAATGTTTTTTGTTGTTGCTCTCAGCTCAGTGAATCAGCCCCACAAGCCCCCTTTCTTTCCCAGCATGCACGGGGCCAACCTGGCGAACAGTTGGTTTCTCAAAGCGCTGTAGCGGTGGTATCCTGCGGCGAAGGGCAGGCAGACTACGAGATTTATTCTGTTCATCTGGTTTTCCTGTGCGCACATGGGCTGTGTAACACTTTAGAGGTCCCACGAGAAACACAGATAATACACACACACACACACACACACACACAGACAGTGTTTGCAAAGTGGCTATTAAGTGTAATTAATTAGACTAAATATATAAGCTTGACAAATTGCATTAACCGGTAATTTTCCTTTAGAGGGTTTTGATGTATTATTTATAATTCAGCTCCTAAAACAGGTGATCTAGTTCAAAACCCTTCTTTTTTTTTTCAATTCTGTTTTCCAAATCAAAAGTTCCACTATGATCATAATTCTGAAATAGATGTTGGTTAAACAAGTGAACATAATAAACCCACACTGGCATACATTCAGGCAAAAGGTTTAACTTTGATATTTAATATTTTTCATAAATGTGAGGTTGGAGTACCACTTTTAAGACATAAGATAGATTTTATAATTTATATTTTCATTAGTAACAATAAATAAAATATTGCCATCATTATTACTACTACTACTACATGTTACAGTTTCACTGCGGTTTCATGAATTTTATGTTTCATAATTATTTTATTTATTGCTGTAAAACCATGTTGCAGAAGGTGGCTTTTTATTTCACATAATTTCACAATTTTTAAAAATGTAAAAAAATAAATAGATAAATATATATATACATATATATATATAATTATGTTGTTGTTTCTGAACTTTTAAAAAAGTATTTTTTTAAATATATTTTAAGTTTTTAAGATAATATTCAAAGAATGTAGAATAGACAAATTAAAAACCATAATAGCAAAATAAATAAACAAAATAAAAGGAATTGCAAAAGGTGGCTTTTTATTTTATATAATTTCACATTTAAAAAAATAAATAAAAATTAAATATTATTATTATTGTGTTGTTGTTATTTTTAAAACTTTTAAAAAGGTATATTAAAAAATATATATTTTAAGTTTTTAATGTAATATCTGAAGAATGTAGAAATTAAAAACCGTAATAGCAAAATAAATAAAATAAAAGGAATTAAAGAAGTGGGATAACACAGGTTTACATTAAACAAAAAACCGTTACAGAAAGAACTTTATTATTATTATTAATATTATTGGTAAAATCATGCCGAGCAGTAAAGACTGTTGTTGTGTGTTTGGGAATAGACCCCAAAAATCTGAGAAACTAGCCTGGTTGTGTCCCCTATATAACTGTGTAATTGAAAATAAGTAAATACATATATAAAGACTGAGCAATTAAAACAGCATGTTCTGTCCAGCAGACTTCAGACCGTTACAGCACATTTGCGTTCACATCTCTTTTGATTTGTTTCGCATGCATCTGAGACGTGTGTAATTAGGGTTTAGGCTACACTGTGGCTTTATTTCAGCGGTGGTATGAAGCAGATGCTTGGGACAGACGTACAAAATCAGAAGGGAAGCATCAGCAGAGACCGTCACACCTCTGTCTCATTTAATGACAGCGTTATTCATGCATTTTGTTATCCAGAGGTTAGTGTCCAAAAGTGCTTAATATGATTCAAACTCCACCCTGTGACTCACTCAGAGACTCGATCGTGTTGTTTGGTTGAACGCTGAATGAAGTCTTCTGTTCCAGAGTGCCTTATTACTTCAAAGATGTCTGAGAAAATCTATCAGTACATAATCCAGCATTCACGGTGGCCCCTCTGGACCAGGTCTGGAAAAGGGTCTGTGAGAAGCAGCGATGTCCAGGCTGCAGAGCAGGTCGGGTCAGAATCGTAAATCAGCGGTCTTCTCCAAGATTCGTGACTCAGATATCTGACTTACAGTCATGATTTTAAACAACAGGGTTGTGCTGGATGATGCCCCGCTGTGTGTTTTCCTCCTGATCTGCTGATCTGTCTGTGTTAGGTCAGGACATGTCTGGCACGAGTAAAGCCTGGATTTATGAAGACTTTAATGCAGTCCATTGCGAATGTGCCGAAGGCTTGGGAAACGTCTGCTAAAATGGTTACTAACAGACAGACGCTCAGTTGTGGGCTCCAGAGAGTCATTCATGTATTATTTCTACTCGTCCAAATTAATGTTCTGTCAGACCATCAGCATGAAGACTCACTTTAACCGCAGCAACAAACTGTCCCAGCAACCCACACACTCAAACACAAAACCACACACACACACACAGGTTTGTTTTTATGGTTTATGGGGACTCTCCATAGGCGTAATGGTTTTTATACTGTACTGGCATGAGAGGAGCTTGTCGTGTGCTGATGTTAGAGATGTGAAAGAGAACTCGAGTACTCGGAAATGACTGATCATGAATATTTCTGTAACAATTTTTTTTTGCTATTTTTCATGCAGACCATATGTGACCCTGGAGCACAAAAGCAGTGTTAAGTCGCTGGGGGATATTTGTAACAATAGCCAACAATACATTGTATGGGTCAAAATTATAGATTTTTCTTTTATGCCAAAAATCATTAGGATATTAAGTAAAGATCATGTTCCATGAAAATATTTTGTAAATTGTCTATCTTAAATAAATCAAAACTTAATTTTTGATTAGTAATATGCATATCTAAGAACTTCATTTGGACAACTTTAAAGATGATTTTCTCAATATTTAGATTTTTTTGCACCCTCAGATTCCAGATTTTCAAATAGTTGTATCTCGGCCAAATATTGTCCTATCCTAACAATCAATGGAATCATCAATGGAAAGCTTATTTATTCAGCTTTGAGATGATGCTGGATACTAGTTTTGTGCTCCAGGGTCACATATGAGGAAACTAAAATGTGCAAAATTTAGCCTTGTTTTTAATTTCGGGACTGGTCACAGTGACAATTTTGCAATACGATTGGTTAGACGGAGACGGTGTTCAAATTATGCAATCACGTTAGAATGCTCTAGAGTTTCTTTTTTAAATAATAAATCACAAATAAGAAATAAGAAACACTTAAAACGTGAAAATAAATAATTTACTCCACTTTCCCAGATTTGAAGTTTGTCCAAGGTTTAAATTTGTGATGTTTAGAACCTCTACTGGCCCCACAACTTCATCACACAGGGCAGCTTTGAATAAATGTGACTTTCATACGCAGCATGAGCTTGTGTTTCCAGTCTCCTGTGTTTGCATGAGTATGCATGGAAGTCAATGTCTAGCGTGCCTGTGGCTTTATTTGAGTGCACAAATAATCAAAAGAACCAGATTGGGTCTCTTATAATAATCAATTAAACTGTCTAGAAAATCACTACTGTTCAAAAGTTTGGGGTATGTACAATTTTTTTTTTTCTGAAAGAAATCTCTTCTGCTCACCAAGACTGCATTTATTTAATTAAAATACAGTAAACTGTGTTAATATGAAATATCACTACAATTTAAAATAATTTGCTTCATATTTTGGTGGAAACCATGATACTTTTTTCAGTATTCTCTGAAAAATTTAATAGCATTTATATTTTAAAGTAAAAAAAAAAAAGCATGAATTTAAAATAGAAATTTGAAACATTCTAAATGTCTTTAATGTCACTTTTGATCAGTTTTAAAAGTATTATTTTCTTTAAAAAGCCTAAACTTTGAATGGTAGTGTAGAACATACAGAAAAATATACTGAATCCAGGATCAGCATTCTGTAAAATGACGCAGGCTGATCCTGCATTATGTCATATTAGTGGAATAATAAAGAAGTGTGTCAAAGAGCAGATCTGCCCCTCTTCTCCATCGCTGCAGACTCTGCTGTTTATTGAAAACAAATGGAACCTGAACACAATAAGAAAACTAATCAAGCTCAGAGCGGAGGAGCGCGAAACAGAACCGGCCTGTTAAATGGGATGCAGGTGTGGGTATGTGTGTGCAGGACGGACAGAGAGAGAGAGAGAGAGAGAGAGAGAGAGAGAGAGGGGGGAGAAGGAGACTTTTCCCAGGCCCAGAGGAAAGAGAAAGTGATGGAGCGGGAATGAGGGAAAGAGAGCTGGCCGATTATAGGAGCTCTGCCGGCCAATGACAAATGCGTCCTCTGATGCAGGAGGCCTTGCCGCTGGCTCACTCTCACAGACACATGCAAGCTGAGTGGCATTTCGTAGCCCTGCAGATCAAAGGACAGATCTGGAGCCTCAGGGTTCAGAAGCCAAGAGAAAGAGAGAGATGGAGGTCCGTAGGCAGATCATGCCAGCATTTAATCACACTCCAGACAGAATCGGAAGAAAAGAAATGGAAAGAGAGAACGAAAGAAAAGAGGGACAAATGGACACACGAAAGCTGCCCAACCCTTGCTTCCTATTCCCAAATAACTGTACAGAGGGGAGTTTATGCTCATGTTTACCTTCACGCTGTCTTCCACCTCCATATGTCCCAACAGTTTTCCGTTGATGCTGAACACACAGAAGTGGCCCTTGTCATAATAAATGACACAGTGACCCTCGGTGGAGGACAGAACCAAACGTGGTCGCACACAGCCGTCTGGACCCTCCAGAGTCCTCAACAGGTCACCGTTCATAGAGTGGACGAGACACGGACCCTCTGTTGTCAAATACATACAGACACACGAGGGTCAAATCAGACAGAATTACAGAGTGCTGCTGCACCTCATGTGCTATTTAGGGCTTAAAATTATCATTTTCATATTTCTTCAGCCACTGACATATTTATTATTTCCAGGCCAAAAAAACATCTTATCCAGGGAGCCATGTTTAGAGTAAGATTGCTAGCCTCAGACAATTCTTTAGTCCAAATAGTTAAGTGTCTATTCAGGGTACAAATATTTTCATAACCAGACCCTAAAGTTGGAAAGAAAAAAAGGTAAGTTTTGACTTATGTACCTATAAATTACCTGCAGGTGAGCGAGGGTAATTGTTGATAAATTTTTAAGTTTTTGTCATTATTAAAATGTAAAATATTAAAATTTTATTCAAGTATGGTAAGACATTTTGCTCATTTTAAGGAACTCATTTGACAATGCTGATTAGGCAGGAAAGTTTTGTAAAGGTAGATTTATATGTGTACTGTACATGCAAAAACACAAGTTTGACCCAGAGAGCACAATCAATCATAGCAAGTAAACAAAAATAAATATAAACAATAATTAAAAAAATTAAAATAGTAATTAAATAAACAAATAATTATTATATAAACAATAAATAAATATAATTAAACATTTAAAAAATAAAAAAATTCTTAGCAATTCAAACATAAATAAATAAAATAATATATAAATAAAAAGAGTGTGTTTACCTTTGCAGCCACTGATGACCAGTCCCAGCTCTGCACACACACTCGCACACGTGACTTCACAATCATGACCCGTCAGGATCGTCCGAGGAGTCACGAATTCTGCTGGAGTCACACACAGAGTTAATGATACAATCATAAAAAAAAGCAATCACAAATAATAGTTATCACAATCACTACACACCATGAATGATATAATAGCTGCACTTCCTTATTTAACACTGCTGTCAATTTCAATGTCAAAATGAGTTTTTTTATTTGTCTACTCCGTGATAATGTAATTAGAGTGTGTAATCACCGCAATGACGAGCTCTGCTAGCATTCGTGTGTGTGTGCTTTCTGTCCATATCTCACACACACACACACACACACACACACACACACACAGTTAATAAACTAATGAGTTCTCTTTCTACCTGGATACAAAGAAATCACACACATTTAAGTGCTTTAATCCAGCTGGCCTCTCTCTGTCTTTCGCTCTCTCTCTCTCTCTCTCTCACACACACACACACACACACACACTCTCTCTCTCTCTCTCTCTCTCTCTCTCTCTCAGTGTAGATGTATAGGTTTCATTAGGTGGCAAACTTCCTAAATGTCTCAGCTTTGAGTTATACCCTACAACTCCAGGGATTAAAGCCTGATGTCGGATTGTGTCCTGAAAAGGTCAATAAAACTGATATATTGGTGTATCGTTTAACCTCCCCATCATCAGCCACCATTTGGTTCACATTAGGACAACATCTGATTACAATCTAATACCTATATACTGTACACTATTTATCTGTACTGCAAATGCACACTAGAGAGTATCATATACCCATCAGAGAAAGAGAGAGAAAATTAATACATAAACACAGTACAATTTTAGAAAAAAATGTTGCAATAATATATCTATAATAACTGAAACAGCATCAGAATGAATTGGTTTTAAAATCATGGTTTATGAAAGTGCTGTGCATCATTTGGCCACTAGATGGCAGTGTGGTCAACAGAACCACTGTACTGTACACAGCCTGGGAAAGACTTGGTATGGATGTAAACCACTGTATATTTGAAATCATACTGTAACTTAATTCCTGCCTTAAGTGAAGAACAGTGTCAAAATGAAAGAAATTAACAAACAGCAAAAAATGTAAATACCTAACATAATATATAATAACATAAATTCACCTAACATGTCTGGCATTATCGCTATTTAGTAACCAGACAGAGGCTATTACATAGATTTTATAATAATTTTGACATTTTATGCTGAGTGAATGCTGCAGAATCATGAATCAAGTTTGACTTTTGAAACTTAAATCAGTATTATTACTGATAGATTGATAGACAAAAATAAATTACATTTATAAAATATTAAAATGTATCAAAAACATAAAAATACATGTGTAGTTTGGACAAAAATTGGGGGGTCTGAACTGATTCCTGCAAGGTTTCCTGATTTTTATTTTTTTTTACCTTTCATCCCTTTACCCACCTGATAATATTACTGGAAAATATGGCCTGTACATGTGATACCAATCCAGAGATTCCGTTTGATTTGACTTTAGATGAAAGTCTGGCTCTTAAATGTCAAACATCCACCTACAGTCATATTTATCTTTAGATTATCCAAATCACAATTAGTCATAAATCCTGTCCCATTTGTAGAAGAACACTTAACAGCATGCAGAGCATCCAAATTAGTAAAGAGGATGTGTGTGTGTTTTTTGAGAGAGAGAGTGTGTGTGTGTGTGTAGAGCGCTTTGATCAGCACTGCAGCCATATGGTTAGTGTGTGCAGGGGAAGCCCGTGGCATTTTTCACTTTTATTGAGTGTTCTCTCGCTCTCTCATATAGATGGGACCGAACTCTCCTGAGCCGGAGACCTCCGAGTCACATTTACTGTCTCCCTCTGTGGCCCTCTAGCCTCTACTTTCACTCACACACACAGACACACAGACACAGACACACCCACACCCACACACACACACACACACACACACACACACACACAGACTCTCTCTCTCACACACACACACACACACACACACGCACACACGCACACACACACTCACACACACACACACACACACACACACACACACACACAGGCAGGCCGATTCCATTTATGGTGTGATACTAGCCTGAAACCCAATCTTCTCAGCAGAGACCTGCTGTGGTCAGATGAAACTAGTTGTAGCTTCTGAGAGTGAGCCGTAAATCATTACACCAGCCTTGACAGACAAACACTGGAATGTGCGTGCATGAACAATGTGCTTTTAACACTGTTGCACTGCACTGATATCATCACCTGCATGAAAGCTTTTTCTATGTGTGTTTGCTAAGTGCTGGTTGGGGATTTGGACTCTGAACGTTACCCTGATCTTGACCTCTCTATGTGAGGAACATGAGGAACTCTAGAGCTTCTTCTGAGCACCAATGCTGATGAAACTAATTATTCAGACATATTTTGGAGCCTTCATTAAAATAAAATGAAATTACATGTGAGGAACACAAAAGGAGTTACTTAGCAGGATGTTCAAGCTGCTCTTTTCCAGGCAATAAAAGTGACACCCATGATCAGTAAATGACAGAATTTTCACTTTTGGGTCTGTATGTGGCTTAACATTTACAACTTACTCCCAGGGTTCTCTCCAATGCTGCTGTGCTTGCCGTTCCAGTACCAGAGCAGTAATGTGGCGTCTCTGGAGCCGGACAGAACGTAACAGTCTCCGCCAATGTATGACTCTGAGCGCGCCAGACAGGTCACCACATCAAGATGGCCAAACACAATCTGTGTCAGTTTACCTGTTAACACACAAACACATAACACAGGAACTGAAACGACTTAATGCAGTGTGTGTGTGTATGGGATGGGGGGGGGTATGTACAATGCACAATATATATATTTGTAATGATTTTTTGCTTCCATGATTCAAGGTCTGATTCTGGAGCATATCTTCATGGGGCCAGCAGTCCGCAGTGCAGAACTCCCTGCAGAGTGTGAGTGAATGACTCTACTGAGATGATGCTGTCTGTTGAGCTGTTTACATTCACCAGATGAGCTCACACACTCCCCAATTCCTTTAAATAGCTGCTTTTGGAGTGCTGCATGTGCATGCTGACATCTGTGTGTGTGCATAAGCAAATCAGCAAGCATCTATCTATCTATTTATCTATCTAGCAACCACCCCGAGTACCTTAGCAACCGCTTACCAACACCTTAGCAACCGGCTCGGGTACCCTAGCAACCGCATAGCAACACCCTAGCAACCATCCCGGGTACCCTAGCAACCGCTCTAGTAACCACCTCAAGTACCCTAGCAACCACCCCAGGTACCCTAGCAACTCCTTAGCAACCACGCGGGTATTCTAGCAGCTGCATATCTATATATCTATGTATCTATCTATCTATCTGTCCGTCTATCTATCTGTCTGTCTGTCGGATAAAACGTCTATCTATCTGTCTATCTATCTAGTCTGTCTGTCGGTTCTGTCAGAGTGTCTATCTATCTATCTATCTAGCTATCTATCATCTGTCTGTCAGTCTGTGTTTAGATCTCAGAGCTTGGGAGCATTTGCGTGTGGAGTGATTCTATTGAAATTCAAGGTCAGCTTGCGTGACTTGCGTTCTGAGCCTCATGCTCCCACGAGACGGAGTCCATCCATGAGATGAGAAAGCTATCTGAGCCCCGCGGCGATGGAGTTGTAATGCAGTCTGCAGGCTCATTTGTGACTTTTGACCCTTTCCTTTGTGTATTGCAGTGGAGAGGTGCTGGGGGGGTCGTCGCGGTTACCTGTATCAGTGGAGTAGACGCGGAAGCTCTTGTCCCAGAAGCCACACAGCAGCATGAAGCGGTTGTCGGCCGTGATGATAAAACACTGAGCATTTACCTGGATGCTCTGATCTAACAGATCTGAGATCTGCCTCCTGTGAATGCCCACATTACTGGCTGAAAACAGAGAGAGAGTCACTGGTTAAAGACTCACTTGTTATAAAAGTGCAAACATAACTTTTTGCTTAGAAAATTATTGGGTAAAATGGAGAGAAATATAAACAGCTTAGAAAAATAAGCTCAAGACAGTCACGGAGCGGCAGAGACATTAACAGAGGTTGAAAAAATAAAGAGGAGAGCTGAGATATAAGATGAATAGGTGGACAGAAAGGCTTCAGCCATATGTTATCACACATGTTCCCTCTCTCATCCCTTTATTCCTCATCAACAGGTCGGAGGGATGAGAGGAGGACATACTGTCCTGACAGCGCGTGCCACGCGGCTTCAATCAGACATTATTACACCATTCATATTCATTCAGTGTGACAGGGCAGAGAGACAGAGAAAGAAGAGAGAGAGAGCTGATGATGTACAGGCTAAGCCACAGCTCATTGCTTTCCAATTTGCATGCAAATGCTGATCTGAAGCTGGGTGAAAAACAGCACTCATCTCCTCCCAAGGGCCGGGCCCTCGCAACTCACAACAGCCAATCACAAATCACTCTACTGACGACTGACAAGCCACAGACCTATCAAAGGGTCAATCTCAACCGGTAACTGGTACTGCTGGTCTTGCACAGAAGCGCTCTGATGACCTGAGCGAAAGAGAGAGGACAGATGAAAATTAGATTTCATACTATGTACCCTCAGGATACTTATTCACAGAGGTCAGTCAACAGTCATTTACTACAGCAGACAGATGACAATAACACCTAAACAAAGAACATTGATCTACTGTTCAAGAAACAAAAGCAAACAAACAAACAAAAAATTATTATAAAAACATGCCAGCATTAATGTAAGATTTTGATATTGTCAGTTTTTATCCAGTTTTGGCATCGATAGATAGGTAAACATGCATGCAGAGCTAAATTGTGGTGATGTGCTAAAATCTATATATATATAGATTTTGCTTAAATACCTTATAAGTATTATGCAATAAGGGTCAAAAATCATACTCATAACGGGTTAAATGTGATTGACAGCATGACGGGATTACCATCATTTTGCTTGGCATGTAAATGCCTTTATTCCATTCTTTGAATATATTCAGTGTCTTAAGCTGAGTGCACACTGTGCGGTTTTTAAGTTCTTGTACGACTGTTGCTTGTTAGACTGTACGTTGACAGCTCACTGCTCGCCAAAATGTGTTTAAGAAAGCAAAATCTTGGCTAAAATTGTCTGGCGTGAACCTGACATTCATGTACATTGACATGACTGACATTCATGAATTCATTCATGTGCATTGTGACGGCAACAATTTCAATTTGTTAAAAATTGTATTTTTGAAAATAAAACCATCATATATGAAGATATAAAGTTTACGCCCTGAGAAGCACCCTTCCTCTTATTATGGTGAATACCTCGTAGCGCTTCTTACAATTAGATTGATCTTTAATAAATAAATAAATAAATAAATAATAATAATAATAATAAGAGGATGATTAATGGAGGTGGACAGGAAGAGTGACTTATTCAGTCCTTATTAGGGGTGTGATGATAGACTTAGCTCACGAGACGAGATATTATAAATTGTTAAAAATTGTATTTTTGAAAATAAAACCATCATATATGAAGATATAAAGTTTACGCCCTGAGAAGCACCCTTCCTCTTATTATGGTGAATACCTCGTAGCGCTTCTTACAATTAGATTGATCTTTAATAAATAAATAAATAAATAAATAATAATAATAATAATAAGAGGATGATTAATGGAGGTGGACAGGAAGAGTGACTTATTCAGTCCTTATTAGGGGTGTGATGATAGACTTAGCTCACGAGACGAGATATTTTAACACTTTTTAAGAAATCTTATTCGACTGAAAGCCACAAAATGTTGAAAGTTTTTAAAAATGTTTTAACTAATCATCTTGTAATGAATGTAATTTCTACTTTCTCGACCATTTTCTCATCTGACCGGCTTCTCTCTTGTATGATTTGATACGAGTCTCTTCAGACCTTATAACTGTGCTTGAACTTCTAACTTCTGAATGAAGCATTACTGCGTTAGATGAGTAAAGCACTGAATTGACACTACAAAAATTAGCTTTGGAAAGAAATATTCTGACTCAACGTTGCATTAACAATGATAATAAATGGGTTTTAAAAAATGAATATTGAAATATGAAATTATACCAGTAGGTGGCGGCAAATCTTAACGAGTGAGTCATTCGTTCAAACGGCTGATTGATTCAGAAATGAATCAAATGACTCTTTATGAATGGCTCACTGAATCATTGAATCATTCAGTAAGGAATCACCACTGTGTGTTGCTCGGAGACAGTTCTGCCGTGGCTTTGTTTGGAACTATTTTGTTTGCGAAATTGAGCAAAGCAGAAAATATTGAGTCTAAAATATAACCCAATATTAACTTCTTGTTTGAAAATCAATTATCACATTTGCAGTCGCACTGATATCACGAGACAGCCTTTCACCTCAACAAGAAATATTGTCGCATTTTAATATCGCAAGATTTTGTGGCTCGAGATCTCATCACACCCCTACTCCTTATCCATCACCTCGCTGTCTGATCGCTCTTGCTCACCAGTGAGGCCGTGCCACTTGTTGACGGCGAAGAGGCGGTTGGCGGTGACTGTGATGACCGCTGGGTTGGTCAGGCCTGACTGGGTGTTGGCGGCCACGTGGGTGACAGGCGAGTTGGACGGGAACTTGAGTACCATGATGACGTCCTGCTGCATCTGCTCTGTGAACATCAGTGGGGTCTGCAGAAGGAGATACTGTTGAGTCCATGACCACCATCATCAGCGGGGAGCGAGGGAGAGTAGAGGAAAAGAGGAAGAAAGTGGAAGAGAAAAGTGGAAGCAGGAAGAGAGGAAATTAGGCAGCGAAAGACTGAACAGTGTAAAAGAGCACAAAAGCGGAGACTGAGGTCACAGGTTATTAGGACAGTGCATCAGAAAATCATAACTGGATCGGGATTAGGGTTGAGAATTGAGAATCTTTCTTATTCAAAACCGGTCCGAAGTTAAAAAATGAAAATAAATAAATCTGAACGTTCTGGAATGTCTGCATTTTTTAGCGGATGGAACACAGTAATAGGATTTGCAATATCAGAGCATCAGCTGAAAAAAATTGTACAATTGATTTCAAATTTATTATCGCTGTTCTGTAGAAATCTGAAATTCTGTCATGACTTGACAACAGGCTTCTGAAGGTTGAATGAGAACTGTTTTCCTAAAATTGTTCACAGAATTGTTACTAAGCTGGAATTGAGTAGAATCCGAATCATAAATAAATAAACATATTTAAAAGAACATTTTATATTATATATGATAATATATAAAAATACCAAAAATATTAATAATAAAACGATACAATAATCTGAAAAATTTATCATATCAATATATGATTTCATTAGCTCTGCCTTACAAAATATTAGCTCCTATTAGTCATGTACTGCTATATCATTCCAGATAAGCAGTATTTTTTGTAGACTAATGATGAAGTTCATGAACAAATGCACTGAAGTAATTTAAAGCTGAAGAAAAGAGGACAGAGAGAAAACGAGATCAAAGCGCCTACACACTTTAGTTTCACAAAAAACAATGATATATTTGACATTTTTGGACCTCAGAGAATTCCAGAAATTCTTCTGCTAGGCTAAGTTACACACTAAGTTAGAATTCCTGGGTAATGAGTACAAGATAAACAGAAGGTTGTAAAGGCATAGAAATATCATAGCAGATTTCAAATGCATCTGAACTTTCCTTTAGGCTGCCACAGTATATTCCAATTTCCATGAGTAACATTATAATCTGCTTTCTACTGTGTTCCACTCCACAAGCTTAAAAGGTATATGCACATACACAGCTGTCTGATTACTTCGGAGCAAAGTCAACCAACCATCAAGCGGACTTCCTCGGCGAGGCAGGGCTGTGTTTGTATAGGATAGTGTTCAGTCCAGGCAGCTGCACTGTCACTCTCAACCAGCGATCTGATTGGCTGTTGCTTTAAATGACGCTTCTCTACAGCACATATTAAGCACTTCACATACAGAATGTCTAAACTATTGGAGAAAGTGTAACTATATGCTAAGCTCATATACAGTGGGTATAGAAAAGCCCCCCCCCTCCAAATAATCACATTTTGTTGTTTTGCAGCCTGAAATTAAGATGGACATTAAGCCCTGGCATTGATAAAGCCTTTGAATTTTTTTGTATCCATCTCCTGACTCGTGTCTGTCCACAAGTATCTTTCACTTGGTTGTTATAAGTTGCACTGAGTAAATACAGCTGGATAAAACGAAAACTGTGTCCGTCTTCATTTCAGGCTGCAAAGCAACAAAATGTGATTTTAAAGGGGGCTGATTGTTTTCTATACCCACTGTATCCTAGTATGTCTCTCAATGTCACCATAAAACTGTTCTCTAATCCAGCCTAACTGTTGTCTTATGTCTGTGACGTCTAATCCTGACGTGTGTGTGATTTTTAGACACAGTATGGAGACACAGGGTTAACTGGTGTGCCTGCAGTAAATTAGACAGACAGCTAGCACCTCTTAAATAGTGTTCAGCCTGTGAGTGCCATTAAACAGAGGATCTACTCTCATTAAACTACTGGAGACATGGAAGAGGGAGAGAAAGAAAGATGAAAGGATTACAGAGAGAACGTGTATAATCCAGATATAGGATTGCATGAAAATTACGTTAATTCAAAAGAAAAAGAGTCTTGTCTTGTCATACCATCTATCTCAAAATGCTGCTTTTGTTGCAGTGGGGATTGGGATTGTTGTTTTTTGTATATCTTTGTATTCTAATTGAAGATATGTCATTATAGCAATGCTATGAATTCAAACTGAATGATTTCAATTAGCCTATAAGCGTTCATGAAATGTGAGGATGTCTAAAACGTAAATCTAATTAATTGGATTATTGAATAATGACAACCCAATGAATTATTATAAGAATTCAATTTAAAAAATAAATAAAACTAGTAACAGCATGCCACTTGAGGTGTACCTCAAAGGTCTAATTTTTTCTTTTCAATTCAAAAGAAAAATTATAATTTCTAAATCTAAACACATTAATGTGTCCACAAATCCTTCATTAAAAAAACAAAAAACATAATACAATATTAATATTCAACATAATAGAATTATTCAACACTATTTCCCAGAGACACAAAGGCCTGGTTTCACAGACAGGGCTTAGGTTAAACCAGGATTAGGCCAGAGTTCAATTAGGACATTTAAGTATCATTTATAAACGTACCTTAGAAAAAAACATTACTGGTGAGCATCTTGAGACAAATCAATAACACAGACATATTTTAAGATCTGTCAGTGCAAGTTTCTTTTGGTTAAAACAGCCCAGACATGCATTTTAGTTTGAGACTAGGCTGTGAAACTGGGTGAAAAATAGATAAATTATTCCCATAACTTTTCTGATTAAATCTCACAAATGTTACCGTTCTTCACTTGCATCTCTTCTGTGTCTTCCTTCTTCGTTTTCACCTTTAAAATGTTCTAATAATGTTATAGTTAACAATTGTCTTAAGATTTGGGGTCAGCTTAGGCACCATTTCATTCTACAGACAACACCTCTCTTATGCCCTGTTCATTCTGATCCTCTTTACCCTCCCTCTTTCAATGATAAGGCTTTTGCAGCCTGGGTGGATCATGGGATAGTTTCTATTAAGGACCTTTACATTGATGGCATATTTGCATCATTCGAACAACTGACTCAAGTTTTTAATTTGCCACGGTCCAATTTTTTCAGGTATTTGCAGATCAGGGATTTTGTCCGCAAGCATTTCTCTGGGTTCCCTTTGATTCCACCCTCTACTCTGATTGATACCATTTCCAATATCAATCCTTATCATAGCGGAGCCATCTCTAAGATTTATAACATCTTGCTCACATATCATCCCTTGGCCTCTGACGGTCTGCGTCTTACATGGGCTAGGGATCTTAACATTGAGATAGAGGCAGAGACCTGGCAGTTGGCTTTGAAACGCGTCCATACATCATCTGTCTGTGCTCGTCACGGGGTTTTACAGTGCAAAGTAGTCCACAGAGTCCACTGGTCAAAATGTAAACTAGCTCGTATGTTCCCTGGCATTGATCCAAGTTGTGACAAATGTCATGTAGAACCAGCTAATTTAACTCACATGTTCTGGACCTGTCCTGCTCTGTCTCTTTTCTGGGAGTCTGTCTTTGATTCACTCTCAGCTATTACATCTATTAACATTCATCCTTCTCCATTAACTGGCTTGTTCGGAGTTATCCCTCCTAATTGTGAGTTGCCATTTTATTTTGCTGAGTTAGTAGCTTTTCTCTCTCTACTAGCGAGGCGTTGTATTTTGATGCTTTGGAAAAGTCCTCACCCCCCCTCCCATACTCAGTGGATAAAAGATGCCTTATTCTTTGTAAAATTGGAAAGAATTAAACACAGCCTTCGAGGTTCCATGGTGAAATTTTCAAGAATTTGGTTACCCTTTTTGGAGCATGTTAAGTCTCTGTGGCTAGATGGAGTCTCGATTGACTGATTGCCCACTCTGCATCGCATAATTAGTCTGTACTTACCAGGTAGGCACTATATTTGCTGCAAGTAACATCCCCCCCCCCCTTTTTTTTTTTTTTTTTTTTTTTTTTTTTTTTTTTTTTTTTTTTTTTTTTTGTGAGGGTATGTATGTGATTTTATTATTGTAAACCCTTTTGCCTGTTTTTCCTTTTTTTTTGTGGTGTTCATCAAATCATACAAAAAAAAATCATCAAGTTTTAAAATCAAACAATCAAACAAAAAAGTGCATCCACAACCCACAATCATTAACCAACAATTCGACAAAGTCTTTCCTCTGTATCAGATCGGTTCAGAGAGTGATGTTTTCTAGCATTTCACAGTGCTTGGGAAGGGATTGTGTGATTATGATGATGTTGTGTAGTCAAACTGTTTAGTGTCACTGTTACGAAATGCAGTTCTGAGCCTATAACTATATCTGCATGTGGACATTCAGAGGAGAGTGTGAGTTTTTTCCCCACACAGGCAGGCAGGGGCTGTCATCGCCACAGAAACACACAGCTAATGGGGCTTTCTAGACCGTCACCCACAGTCTCTTAGTTTCTAGACTAAAGACCCTATCACCTCAGAGCTCTACGCTCAACCACAAGACTTTTCCCACTTCTGGGACCCTTTCTCACTGAAAGAGGACTGGAGAGAGGAGAGCCGTAAAGTGCAAAAGAGTTGATTTAAGCAGACAGCTACAGTTTCAAACCCGTTTTCCACCAAAACCTTTCTCAGACCCAGACCATTTGAAAGTCGAACTGCTTACATTTCTCCCTACCCTGCCAAAACAACTTCATTATTTTATTTTAGATCGACAGGAAAAATTAAGTGGCTCGAGCTGAGTAATGCAGCATAAAGAAAGAAATTAACTCAAGAGGTGTCACATTGGCGCATTGGATGATTATAATGGGCACTCTAGTTTTATGCAACCTAGCCTTGTTTTACGGCAGTTTTGCCAAAATAAGTTGTTTTGAACACTATTTGCTGTGGATAATGACATTATCCTGCGCTCTAGCAGCAAATGTTAATTTAGTAGTTCCTGGTTCAAGACTAGTTTGTGTCACTAAAGGCCGGGACACACACTTCAAAGAACTAAAGGCTGCGTCTGGACCAAAAAGCTGTGCTTGAAAACATCAGCACAGACTACAGCGACTGCACAATGTGCGTTCTGCGCCTGCGTATGAGGAATGAACTGTCTATATCAGCAGATATCAATAGTCGGTAACACTTTATTTTAAGGACCTATTAACTAGCTGCTTATTAGCATGCATATTACTAACATACTGGCTGTTTATTAATACTTATAAAGCACATATTAATAGCTTATTCTGCATGACCAAATTTTAGATCCCTTAATCTGACCCCATACCTAAACTTAACAACAACCTTACTAACTATTAATAAGCAGCAAATGAGAAGTTAATATGAATGTGTTTCCTATTTTGAAGTGTTACCCAATAGTCTATATTCGTCATTCAAAAGGAGAAACCGAAACGAGGATATACGAGATACACGCAAATTTACAAAACTTAAAGCAGCCCTCGCTTACCGTTTTGAATATCAGTTATGTTGAGAACTTTCTTCACTTTAAGCGGCCTGTGTTGTTATGAAAATACTGGCGTATTGGAATAAGATTAGAACAGCCTCCTGACTGTGCTGTCTTGACTTACTTTTGACATACTCGTTTTCATCACTTTCATTTTAATTCTCCTGCATTAACTCGTTTAATTCTCCTGCACTGACTCGAGTCGAAGCTGTTTTTTAAGACCCAGAAACCCTTTTTCTGTGGTGGAAACGCATGGGATGCTTTCTGATTTGACACTGGGTCCTGCTTATAGAGCAAATGAGGAGAAAAGAGATCGTATGCAAAAATTTAGTAATAGAAAGAAGAAAAAACTGCAGGGTTTCTTGCATTTGTACCCAACTTGTTATCTAATTATGAAACCTGATTCAAATAAACTTTATTATATGACAATACACTGGCACGACATGCAATAGACTTGATCTTAACAGTTTTGCAGACATGTTGATAAATTTGTGAATGTCTGCATGTTAAACATGATAATTGGACAGTGAGAGTGTCTTGTGTGAGTGTGTGTGAGTATGAGAGTGTGTGTGTGTGTGTGAGAGAGTGTG